CGATTGAATAACATCCGCGGCAATTAATACATCTTTTTAAAAGAGAGCAGCAAGATTAGCATTAAGAGAAGAATAAGAAAAAATCGACGAGGACTCTAGTAGCGTATATAGAGATTTGTGTAACTTTCAGCTTCTTTCACCTTCTCTGTTCATTTCCTGGCCGATATACTTGGGTGGAGCATACGTACAACAATTAAGTAAAAATCCAGGTAGCAAGCGTACGTCATTTTGACGTTCAATGACGTCAGTTTGCTACTTGGGAAGCTATTTTTTTATGTTTGAAGACTCAAAATTAAACAGCGTGTGTGTGTGTGTGTGCGCGTGTGTGTATGTGTACATGTGTGTACCTATGCTCCGCGCCCCGTAGAAAATTTTGGTAGTGAGTGAGGGAGTGACGGGGTTATTACTCTCCTCTGTACAGGAGAGGCATGTAGTGAATACCGCTGCGGCTGCCCGCACGTGCCTCGACACTCCTCGCCACGTGCCAAACAGGTTGGTTCTCTCACTCTATCTTATTTCTTTCGATTCAGATTAAAAATAAGGCCCTGCGCATAATAGAGAAAATATTAGAATAAGAATTATTTTTTAAAGTAATAAAATATCCAGAAAAATTCTGATGTAAAAATACAAATTTGGGTATAAAGGAATAGTAAGGGCTGGTAAGCTGATAAGAGTCCTTTATACCCGAATTTATATTTATATATCAGTTTTTTTTTTATTTTATTATTTTTAATTAATTCCTATTTTTAATATATTTATTCTTAATATTTTCTTTATTATACACAAGGCCTAAGAAATACGCGTTTTATTTTCTCGCGAAAATGTGTAAATATTTTCAATATGTAATATATATTTATGTAAATAGATATGTGTGCAGAGAGGGATTCAAAAGCAAAACTGGACTTTCCTTTTAATACTAAATTCTATGGCTAATTTAAAGACAATATTTTTCTTCTGGCTTCTTTTCTTCTAGCGAAATATCGAGGCAAATATTGTGATAATTAAAAAAAAAACTTTTTGCAAATTATATATACTTTGTAGAGTTAAAATATTGATAAAATTATATATTTTTTTAGTTTTAGATGGAGTTTATTTCGACCAAATTTTAATTTGAGAGGCTTAATCGCATCAAAATATATGAGAAAAATTGGAAACTTGCGAAAAATGATTTAAGAAAAAATTGGTCAGAAAATGGTATTAAAAGGATTTGTCTGGAGGTTTTAAAACACTATGTATATATAGATCTCCCTCGGACTTATTTTACTAAGTATTCTTTTAGTTACACGTATTATATACATAAATAAATAGTATTTTACATTGAATTAAAAAATTGTTTTTTTTTTAGTTATTAAAATTTAATTATTAAGAAACTTAGTAAAAAAAATTTTAAAATTGTAAAAAGTGAGAGTATAAAGTACTTTTTATTTTTTTTTTCTCTTTGATTTTTTGAAAAATATAAATTTGCATTTATCTGTAACTGAAAGAAAACTCGATGAGATGGATATATATCTTTGTGCATTTTTGTTTTTGAGAATTTTGTAAAAATGAGATTTATAAAATTTTCTTATGAATGAACCAAAGAGAGTAACATTGGTTTGCGATAGAAAAGCGCGGTTTTGTGTTTTCGTCAAATTTTTTTATTTAACGTGCTACAAAGTAACATAAGGTGCGTGGAAAGAGAAACATACGCTTGTCTTAGATAACACAAATCGCTTCGTACATGCCGCTTTTTCTTTCTGTGCTCATTACGATTGAATAATAAAAATACTTTTCTCTTTCATGGTTTAGATCTGGCTCTAAAGTGATGGACAGAGGACGCGTCTCGCCTGCCAGTGAAGCTGTTTTGCCGTTGTCACTCGAGCAACAGCAGCAGGATCATTTCGACACTAATGACGATAGGTACGAAAGGCATCATGATAATTAACGCTTGAAATTGCGTCAATTTTCTAGATTTATTTTTTTTCTTTTTTTAATAGAATTTATAATATACAGAATGATTCATTCATTTTCTAACTGCTGATTATTCGGTGTTGAAATCGCATTAATTATATCCGTGATTATATCTTAATGGTTTCTTATCACGATATTTCTCCGACCTGTTCTAATGCTATAAATTTATACATCTGTCTATTTTGCACAGTACAAACATGGAGATGACCAAGATAAAGAGCAATGCAACAAACTTGGAAATTTTGGAAGTCATGAAGCATCCTCAAAATGGTGTTGGTTTCTTGACGCAGCATCCCTCACTTCCAAACCAAACGTTTGTTAGCGCCGATGCGATTCAATGGTTAAACAATCATATGGAAGGCGGCATAGGAGTCGAGCAGGGTATCAATATCATGAAGGTAAAGATTCAGTAATTTTCTTCATCAAGTATCAATCTGCAAAATTTAATACTATTCACATTTTGAATTTCTACTTTGAAATATAAAATAACGAAAAATGAGAAAGAGATATTTACTTTTTTACATCAAGAAATATGTATGTCAATTTCTTCACACGTAGCATTCTGTTCATAAAATAAAGAAACTTATTTCTTTAAAAATATTTTTGCATACATCTTTGATGTTAATCAAAAGATTCAAATATTTAATTAAAACGTCATTATGTTGACAATTAAATAAATAATTTATCTTTGTGCAGGGGATGATTCAAGACAAATTGATATGCCACGCATCTGGCGATTTTTCGCAACCATTTGTCTTAGGATTTTACTTGTATCACATTGTGCAAGATAAAGAAAATCAAAAAGGTAAGTCACACAATTAGCGCAATTGTCGGCGTTTTTACTCGCGGTTGAACTTTGTATTTTTTCGCAGCTGCGGATTATTCTGCTCCGCTCGGTGATCTACAAAGTTTCGAGAACGAATGGGTAGAAGTGGAAATGAGATCGCCGAAAGGATGGTGCGAATCAACATCCTCGACAGCATCGTCAACGATGTCATCTCCTATAACTATACCGAATTATGATGTCATTGATGAATCCGATGTTCCGCCTTTTCTAAGAGATAACATCGATTTGATGGAATCGATGGACGATAGAAGTTGGACAGGTAAGAATATACACACTTGGTATATTGATTTATACGCGTGTTCTTTACACGAACATCGCAAATGTCGTCTCTTAAAAAATATAAAAAAATTAATCCTCAGTTTTTCCGGCAGAATGAATAATCTTAGATTAAATTCTATCGTAACCATAAAATGATACAATTAATCTCATCAAAATATTCACACAAACAATATAAATCAGATCGTTCTGTACGAAATATCTGTTTTCTTACAGTGCCATTATATAAACACACTCATCTTGACATCGATATTAATAATAAAAGTGACAGAATCGAATGGGGTCACTTAAGATATCAATCCATTTACAAGGTAGATCATTCTTACGAACTCGTAGTACAATGGGTAGCATCGTCCGGCAGTATAGTAGCTGATTTGGTAAGTAAAAGTTTTTTCATCTCATCTTCTCGATTATGAGACAAGACAAATATCGAATTATGTATTAATAATATCGATTTCTCTTTGCAAGATATTTCTTTGGCAACGCAAGGCTCAGATGTGCGGAATACAAATGGTGCCTATTCCCAGTGATTTGTTAGCGTTACCGTATACCTTGAAGAGCGATCCTCTCCGAGGACCTATTTTTATACCACTCGACACGGAATGCTTGATCGTAAATAAGCGATATCTCTTTGAAGGTTTGTTCCAACTAATCTAGCTAATGTAAATTTTTATTTTCAATCTGTCTTATTTGACAAAAAATACATATTTATATAGAATTTCGAGAAGATACATACGCGCAAAGATTGTTTCTATTCCAAGAAGCGATTCTGCAGCGATTCGGCTTTGTGCCGTGCTTAGTTGAAAACACGGAAAATACTCACCAGTATGTTCACATCACTGGCAATGCGTTTATATTAGTGTCATCCACCGCGAATACTCGGCCGCGTCCACGAACAGGTACTAATATCGTGCGACGAAATATGGGACAGAAGAGATACCCGGTTCATCCAGATCAGCCAAGTCCGCATGAAGCATATATCACCAGACACGTTAGTGGAAAGAGTAAAGACGATCATAGTATGGATCGAAAGGTAAGTGATCTTAAATAAGAGTCTTTTCTGATCTATAAAAGAAAAATATGAGGGTTTTATTTGCACATTACGATGCAAAATGTGTTTCAATTTTATGTTCTTTGAAAACTTCGGCGCCAAATATTGCTTATTGATTGCAGATGGGTTTTTTGTGGTCATGGAATCATATGGTTAGTCGAAAGTGGAAGTCGTTGTCTACTTCAGCGGGTGATGAATTATTTCAGAAAAAGATTATACAAGATTTTCGACATTTCTGTTCTAACGGAGATAATAGACTGAAACAGTTTTGGGAATCTTGCTGGGAATTGAAGGAGAAAACTTGTACAAAAACAAAGTAGCAAGATATCATTTCGTCCAAAGAATTTATCATGAATCATATATGTAAATTTCATCAAACCATTCATCGCATGACTGTTAATCTTAATCTATCGAAAGTACAATTATATATCAATGTTTATATAAATCATAATTCTAAGCAGGATGAATGGAAATGTATAAAATGTATAATATTTGCGAAGTGTGTAAAGAAAAGAACTTATATAGATCTCGATGGATTACCATCAATCTAAGAGCAGGAAATGCTAGGATATTTTAAAAAATAAATTGCAAGAAACGAGAAAAAGTGAAAATTAAACTTCTTATTTCTCGTTACCGTCTTTATCTTTGTTCCTTCATCTAGAAATCTTTGCATTCTGTCATTTATGTCCATGATTACAATTTTTTCATTTTGAAATCTTCCCTCGAGACAGTGTTACAAAATGTAATGTAAAATGTAAAAATTTTGAATTATTATTTTTCTTTTTGATGTGAGGAAAAGTATCTAAAATATATATATAATAGTACATTGATTTTATTGTTTACTGATTTTTACGCGTTAAAATTATAATTTAAATAATTATTTGAAATTATCTAGACACAATATAATATCGTGTTATACATGGTAAAAGAATTTATATCAAACTTCAACATCTACAAACAGTCCTTTAAAGGATTCGCTATTGTTCTTCAAAAAATGCAACATCGGATTCATCATGGATGGGTTTTCTCGTATGTAAATGATTATTCGAATGTAAAATAACACTTTTGTAAGAATATTTTACACTAACGAATCGTGCGACGAAACGTTACAGCAATAATTATGCATCATGTCGAACGTAATAACTGATTGTCAATATCAATCAGTTTCGATGAAAAAGCATACAACAATGATCAATGACAGTGACGTTGACAGCTGGAAGACGGAATCCGATTCTAATGAATCTGATCAAAGGGAAATTGGTCTCGTCGATCATCGCGCAAATTACGATAGAACTCAAGAAAATGTGGCGAAAACCTCGAGTTCCGGCCCCGAGATTCGGTACATCAACCCTGCCATTTATACGGAGTCTGTCGGCGAAGAGGAACACGACGACGTGACGCAGATTCATAGATCTGATGAGAATGATCGTGAGCAGGATATTACATATTTAATATATAAAAAAATAATTAAACAATTTCTAAATAATAATCTTCTATCTTTGTTTAATTTAACATTATTTTAGCAAAAAATTAAATGAAACTAATCTTATTTAAACAATTAAATGATAAAAAAAGTTTAGCACAGTCACAAAATCAAACTTAAAACACACACGTATTTTTTAACAATTATAATTACTGATTTATAATTAATAAAATATATATTTTAATATATTTGCAATATATTTTTACTGTAGAAATTGCAACTTTCTTATATGAATTTTCATTAATATTTTGCAATTGATTTTCTCATAGGATATTGTAACGGAAATATAATCAACACGAATCACGATGATTCCGAGTCTTCGACGATTGATCTACCCTCCATGAAGAATGCGATCGAACATCCGGTACAGAACGGTACAGGACGGAGCACCTATAGATGTTACTCGACATCCTTACCAGATACCGCATTGTCTTCCGAATCGTTCACCGTTCGATCCGTGGATGATCAATCATGCAGGAGGACCGCGCGAATAGAACGACGGTGCAAGATCAACAGCGTTTCGACGAATGTCGATCAGAATGAAGAGACGACGAAACGAGACCAGTTCGTTACATTAATCTTTATATAAAGATTCTCATTGTAAAATATATAAATGTAATAAAATTATCGCAGATATCGCGAAAGTCATTCGAACAACCGCCAAGTCGTGCGAATTTCTATGACGTCGCTCTCGACCGGTCCAAGCGTCGACGATTGCCAGGTGTCAAATGGTGCCGATGGTAAAAGAATCGGCCATTCGGAATGGATCCGTAGGAAGGACGAGGCCTCGCAACGCAGGAAGGAAGAGGAGGAACGCGCGGCGAAGAAGCGACAGGAGGAGGAGGAGAGAATGGCGCGAGAAAAGGAAGCAAAGGCGCGGCTGGAAAAGGAAAACTTTCTCAAGTGGATAGAGAGGAAGAGGCAGCAGGAGCTCGAGAGGAAAGCGATCCTCGAGAACGAATTGGAATTGCAAAGACGTTTGAAGGAGATCGAGGATAAGGCCGCCGTCGCGAAGACTTTGTACCTTCGTCAGTGGATTCAGAGGAAGAAGGAGGAGCAAAAGAGTATGGGCGATATAACTTTCCGCGTAACTTATCCGAATTTATTTGAGTCTTCGAATGCGCGCGATAAGGGTTAATCGTCCTGTTTTGCAGCTCGACATAAGGAGCAGGAGATGAGACGGAAGAAGATGGCCGAGGAACGCGAGAGACGGCTGGAGCAGAGTTCCAAGGCTTACGAGAAGTGGAGAGAGAACTCCAAGAATAAACCCAAGCCCGCTACACAAGGATTACTTCGTACGTATAATAATATAATATCCTAAATAATAAATGAGAGAAAGATAAAAAAAATGTAAATATAATGTACATTTAAGGATAATACAGGATGTTTCACGTCATCCTTCACCGAGATAGCTTTTTCATTATTCATTATTCGTTACTTAAAAAGGAGATAGATACATATATATTATTTACTCAATTTTATTTTCTCAAATAAAATGCATTCTGAAACGATCTGTTATTTTATAGCTCATCAGAAAGCGAAACCAGCGTATGTAAATCCGATTCCGTGGCAATCGATCCTGGAAATCGATTCCGACGAAGCGCAGGAGAATACGTTCAACGATAAAAAGGGGAATCACTTAAAGATGAGCAGCAGGAAAACGATTGCAGCGCATGAGTGATCGCGAGAAATCTGGAAGAATCTTTCACGAGACCCAACTCTTGTATTCCAAGTATCTTTAACGTAACAAATTAAAAGGTATTTGCGAAAATTTTGTTTTTTCACTTAGTCGCAAATTTCGTTTGAGACTCAATCGCCGAGATATTTAATTACAAAGTTGCGAGAAATATTATATACACAAAACGTCTTTTGGTAATAAAATTTTCGCGAAAGAAAATTCTGGAAAATTTTCATATCGCTAACGGAGATTCCTTAATGTCGTCTTCTCCCTCATTTATAGAGTGAACATAAGCAGGATATATGCAAGGGTGCAATATATATATGATGTCACACAATTTGATTAATATATGTCAATTTGATTGAAGTGATTTTAATGATATAGGTTTGTTCACACGTTTAATGACAACCTGTGCTACATAATACAAAGTATTTGATTATAACAAGACAAAGCATATCTCGTGACTTTGTAACTGTATTTCTTTCTCTCTCTCTTTCTCTCACTCACTCTCTCTCTCTCTCTTTCTTTCAAGTAATTATCAAACTATTATACCTTCAGTCCCTCTACTGCGAGAAGAACACACCTATTACATCGTAAATCGTTATTTTTATAGTACGCGAAATATCGTGAGAGTTTCTCATCGTCTATTTGCCATACATATATAAGACACATTATTTTCCTTAGACAACAACTCTTTTTTTTCTAAACAATGTCTTAGCTGTTTTTCGTTCGTACCACTCGTCACGCCACACGTTATATATACAATATGGACAATACTCGCATCCTTACAAAGCGCACATCCTATCTAGTAGTAATTTACAATTGAAAAATGGCAAATTTCCGACAATCGGGAACGGGGTGGGTGTATAATCATTTACGTATATGTGTACGAGTGTGTACGTAACAATCATATACATATACATACATACATATTGTATATATATGTATATATATGTGTGGTAAATATTGCTTTTTATACATTGCGTTCTGGTATACACATGTACTTATAACTTACAGTCTACACTTGTTATCCTTCACATCATTTTTCGCTATTTTTTTCGTAGAAGGGAAGGCAATAAAGCAGCGCGATTGTGAAGATAATATTCGAATGTGTTAACGGTAGCAATAGTACTTTTTTTGTCCATTGCAATTAATCCAAGTCGTCAAGTGTGCAATTTCGGGCTCCAACATTAAATTGATCTTATGTGTCACATACGGAAAATAAATCTTATATTTACGATCTCGTTCAAAGATGAAAGATGTCTTGCGACTCTAGATCTTAAACTCCTCTCGATCACGTCGAAAATGTAGGCAGTTTAAAAGAAAACAGCAATTTAATTTATGAGATTAAATGTTCTATCCTCGAAATTAGAAATTCATTTCGAAGAACATGCTTTTGCATTTTTCTGTTAATGATTTCTTCTGTAAAATATAACATGACTTTCTATAATGTACCTATTTTGACATTTGAATTTCATTATTCAATGACAAAAAAATTAAATTTAATTCTTGTAACAAAAAAAAATACGAAAATTCAAAATTTTCACTTCAATTATTTCTGATTTTGAAGATTACGGTTTTGTAATATTACAAAGTGAATTCTTTAGAAGTGTCACATAATTGTTTTTCAATTTACTCAATACGTTTTGTGTAAAGTTAAATTTTATTATTACATAAGATTATTTTCTGTTATTTATTCGATCAATTAATTTTCCAATATTCATACATTGCGGATGAAAAAGACGATTATTGAAATATATATATTAACGTGAAAAGAAAAGTTTATTTTTTAAATTAATTTCAAAATCAAAATAAATCTAATTTTAAAATTAAATTAAAATTTTAAATCAAATATTTTAATTTGACGTAATATTGCATAATTTTCTCGATATATCATGCATATATATATCATTTGCGTGTATGCAAATCTTTCAATCTTTCTTCGTCATCTTTAGATGCATATCAAATACAAAAATTTTGAATTCTGATACGTGTGTGCATATGTACGTATTCATTTATAACTATTGCATGTGCATCGAAACAAATCTTTCACGTTTGATTCTCGACCTTTTGCAGAATTTTTGTCACGATTAGACTGAAACGAAAGATCCAAGATTTAATTCGGACAATATATTTATATAAATGCGACGATAGCAAATACTAGAAAGATAAATAAACTATTTTATCTCGTCAATATTGATTTTCGTTAAACTCTCGACTATTATAGTATTGTCATCGATTATTTAAAAACTATTGGGAAAAAAATTGATGGAATAATTCTGTAACAATAAATATAGATAAACGATCACTTACATTTTTATCGAAAGGAATAAATTATTCCTTTCCGTGTTACATAGATAATGTTATTTGAGTAAATCGAGTACGAGAATGAACAAAATAATTAATTTACATTGTTTATAAATGTCAATTTTAAGAGTTAAAATCGATATGGCATTTCTCATAACAAGAATAGCACACAACTGAAGAAAGACGAGAAAAATACCCAACAATCCTTTAACTCATCTCTGATTGCGAAGATTAGGGATTTATAGGTTTGAAACGTATAAATTCCAATCGTCTTTTTTTAAGTTCTTCCACAGGGGTGTCTCGTGATTGCGTCGCCGGCGCCCACGCGATACAATCCTGAGGCACTTTAATCCCGTAGAGCGAATTGATTTTGAGGAGGCTATCCTCGCAGCCCTCTCTCTGTCTCTCTTCTATCTTTCTTTTTTTTGCAGTTATTTATTGCATCGATATTGTGAAGCGAAACCAAGCTTTCTCAAATGCTGCATACAGACAGTGAAAACAAACAAATACATATAAAGCGAGAAAAATCGAAGCTGCAGTTGGATGCAATGAGAAAAGAAATGGATTGAAAGTGCAATCGTTTAAGAAGAACGAAAATACATGTTATGCATATTTAGCAGAAAAAAATGTTAAAAGGAGAAAATATAATATTTCACATAAAACGATAAAAAAATAGATATCGCAAAGAAACTTATGAAAAATGATTCCGCTACATATGACATAAAGAAAAAAAAATATATAGAACTTTTATATATATTCTAAATCTGAAAAAGAGGAAAAACGCAAATTCAAACGAGACACATTCGATTTTAACAATGGAATTAATATGGCAGAATGGCGAAAAGAACAATAGAAAAAAGAGAAAGAATAGGGGAAAAAGAGAAATAACGATTTTTGTACAGATATAGAGAAAAGAGAAAGAGAAGAAGGAGCGAGAGAGAGAGAGAGAAAGAGAAAAGGGGTGAGTCGCGCCGACGAAGGGGAGAAAAGCCCGAAGGGGAGAGAAACTCTCGATACTTCAAAGCCCACGGCTCCCAGCCCCAACCCTCCATAAATTCTACGTACCAGGGGCTTTTCGTTAAAGCCGAGCTAGCCGAGAGCGCGTCTGTTTAAAGGGAATGAAGCTGTCCGCGTCGCCGCCCTGTACCGTGAGATATGAGCATATCCATCTTAAATTGTCGAACACGCAGACTGGGTATTTTCTCTCTGTTTTCCTTCTCTTTCTGCCCTTTTCCACCCTTCACTTTCGTCTCCCTGCTCTCTCTCCCTCTCATCTACTACTGATTTGCGAGCGAATCAACCCTCCCGCCACATTTTACGCTTTCTCTGTTCCCTTTCTTTCGCTTTCATTCCTGTTGCTTTCGCATTGTCAATTCCCTGCCTTTCTCTCCCCTTCAACCCTCCCTCGAACCCTTCTCTTTCATCACTCTTCTTTAGAAGCGAGAATCTAGTCTGACCAAATTAATTTAATTTGCAATTCTGTTTGAGGGTACCCTTTATATTTTTCGTATTAAAAAAGTAATATCGCGAAAGAATCGAAAACAATTCAAAGATTCAAAAATAATAAGAAATATTTCGAAATTAAATTTGCTCAATTCAAGAATACATATATTCTCCCCCCCCCAAAAAAATAAAATAACATTTCACACACATACACGCGCAAAATTATTTTTAAAAATTCATATATAATTTTGGTCGAAAATGAAAATGATAACCAATGATAGTTTTATATGAAAAAAACGTGTATAATCCGTTTAATAAGAATAATAGTGGTGTATAATCATATAATCACATAGAGATATTAATAATAATAATAATAATAATAATAATAATAGTAATAATAATAATAATGTAATGCTAGCGATATAGAATGTTTGGCATCGTTATGTGTTTGCGTCTGTACAGTAGTTTGCTTTTTACAACGCTTTCGAAATTTCTTTCGTGATTTGCATCACGATCAACACACATTCCAAACACTGAAAACACAGACTGATGAGTAAAAGCCTATTCTCTCCTTTTGCTGGGGCGGATACAATATAACAATATTAATACAATAAATCAATTAATTAATTAATAATACAAATAATAATCATAACTATAATCGATATCAATATAATAATAATAATAATAAAGCAGAAATACAATACTAATAACAACAATAACTAATTGATAAATTAATTATCATAACTAATACATAGCACTGAACTATTGTACGATGGGTTAGGCAAATAATTAAAAATTAGCGACAACTCCCTGCCGATCTTAATAATAATTTAAGCAATTGCGAGAAAAAACAATTCATTCTATATTAAAATAGAAGCGATTCTATCTCTTTGCGTCACTTTACGCAATTAATTCTCTCGAGTCCCTAAAATCATATCAATCAACATCGATCGTTGACGATAAGTCGTGCACATAAATTGATAGCTCTAACTCGAATTCCCAAAATGTTGCATCTCTACTACCTCAACACTGTCTTTCAAAAATTTATATTCACACTCGGAATAATATTCGATAAAAACGGATACACGCAACGAGATCGGAAATAAATCGTTCTTACATATTTATAGAATCTTAAATCATTGTTTTCTTCACAAAAGTGTCAAACGATCTGTGTAATGCTACAAAATTATATATCAAATAATATATATGTAGCATTTTTTCTTCGGATATGTGTAACAAAGTCTTTCTATACAGGATGTATTCCAGAACTATATCGCCGTTTCTTTCATCGACAGATTCTTAGAATAATTTAGATTCAATCTTTTTTTCCAGCTAAAAGTGGT